TAATTTTTTTGTCTCATTTTTTTATATAATTTTCATATTTTATTAAATGAGTAGATGCATTTAATATTATAAGTCCTACGTGAATTAAAAGAATTAATCATTTTAATGACAGTTAAATTGTACAAAAAAATAAAACAAAATAATTATCCCAATAACATTTTTCATTTAAAACTAAATACTTTAAATTGTGTTTAATAAATATTTTTCAGCCTTTATCTCAAAATTACTGAATTTGTTTTTTTTTTCTTTTTTAATATATTAAATAATGAATTATATAATAAAAAATAAATATTTTCTTTTTGGACTCTTGCCACTTGTTTTAGAATTTAATTTGAAATTTTCAACATAAATATTTAAATTCTTAACTATTAAAAATTTCTTAAAATCCGAGGAGTCAAAAATACTTAATTTTTAGTGGGAAACTAATGTTATTTATTGAAAAGATATAAATTTAACATACGAACTAAAGTAAAATTTTAATAATTGAATTAATATTTTCATTAATATAAAAAAACATTCATTTTTTTAAAATAAGAGTTTGAATTTATTCTTCACCTATTTACTGCTCTTTTTTCCCACAAGCTTAAATTACTTATATTCTAGTACATATGTTATATATATGTACTATAAAGAGTACAAATTTTTATTAGTGTGACGAATACTTTCCTCTAAACAATATTTTAAAAAAAATTAAATCATTACTCTACCTTTAATACAAAGAGAAATTTCAAAGCAGCTGTCTCCTGTCTGATTCATGATGCTTTAGAAGACACTAGTCACCTTTCCTAAGCACGATACTAGAAGGCGTCTCGTGCTTATGAAAGGGTTTCATTGCTTGTCACCAGTTCGTTAAGCTAGCTCTTGATGAGGTTAAAAGGCACTACAGTAAAATAGAAGTACTTGAATTTAAAGGGGATAATAATAATTTAAGTAATTTAATAATTTTTTTTAAATAAAAGATTTTAAATTTGAATTATATAACGTATAGGTGAAATGAGATAAAAAATAAAAATAATTATTTTTTATTGTGTAACAAAAAAAAATACATGCATTAATAAGACATAAAACAACTACAACTACCGTAAGATGAATCCAAATTTAACTATGACTATACCCTGTGAGAGCTGCAGCTCATGCCCAAGTTTTCAACAACCTTCCTCCCAAGTTTTTCAGGCATGGGCATGGAAATTGGAAAATACTACTAATATTTTTTTTTCCCATGCATTGGAGGCAATAATCATACACCACAAATTAAGTTGGACGCGTGCATGCATTATCATAAAGAAACGTGTTTGCTGTCCAATGATTTCAAATCTTTTCTAATATTGTCCTTTAATTTAACAGTATTATTAACCTATAATTGTAATAGTAAGTTTTTTAATTCTATAATATTTAAAAAATATATAATATGTTTAATATATTTAATATTTATTTTGATTAAACTTTTATATATTTTTAAAATAAAAAAATAAAAATAAAAACAAAATTCTAGAATATCAAGAAAAGTTGTCAAACTAAACCTATGCCCCCATGCAACCATTTACTAGAAATTGGCCGAAAGTCCTGATCTCCCTTAGAAAGAGATTCTATATACGAATCGGGTTATTAAAAGGGAAAAGGAGAGGTTTTCTTCTATTTTTGAATTCGAAAAAAC